AAAAGCTGGCATCCAGCAGGGGCCCAACCACAGTCCACTGCCTCTCACCCAGTGGCTGTGGCCGGTCGATGGTCCCTGGCTTCCTCTGCACGCTGGTCTGGTCAGGTCCCAAAGGCAGCTTCGGTTAAAAGCTCTCTCCTTAGGTCAGGTGGCTGGTGTTGAAGGGGAATGAGGCAGCCTGGAGCAGCAGGGCCTGGTCCTGCAGACACAGAGGGGGCCGAGCAGCTCTCTTGGGAAAAAAAGCTGGCATCCAGCAGGGGCCCAACCACAGTCCACTGCCTCTCACCCAGTGGCTGTGGCCGGTCGATGGTCCCTGGCTTCCTCTGCACGCTGGTCTGGTCAGGTCCCAAAGGCAGCTTCGGTTAAAAGCTCTCTCCTTAGGTCAGGTGGCTGGTGTTGAAGGGGAATGAGGCAGCCTGGAGCAGCAGGGCCTGGTCCTGCAGACACAGAGGGGGCTGAGCAGCTCTCTTGGGAAAGAGCTGACATCCAGCAGGGGCCCAACCACAGTCCACTGCCTCTCATCCAGTGGCTGTGGCCGGCCGATGGTCCCTGGCTTCCTCTGCACGCTGGTCTATTAGCTGTAATAATCTTTGAATATGTTCTTTATGCTAAAGCCTGAGCAGTATAAACTGATTCTATGAAACTCTATTTTTCTAATAAAAAATAATTATAAAAATTCTTACAAAAGGACTGGTCTCTTGAACAGCAGGGTCTGACTAAATCCAGGGACTGGAGAGGGCCACAAACTAGCTATCTTTAAGAGTCCTACCTAACTGAGTTGTTGTGAGTTCTAAGGAATCACAAAGCCCATGTGTCTGTACTTGCAAAGTATTAGGTAAAAGTAAAGTGTTCCTTTAAGGTCAGATTTGTTCAATGGTCGTACGCTATGCACTACTGAGGTCTTGGGACTTACCTCAACACAAAAGTGGTGGGTAAGTGGCCTGTCGAACTCTGTGACCGAGTGCTAAGTGCTCCTTAGGGATGCTTGGGCACCACAGTGGGCATTCTGTGTATCAAGTTGGAACCAGCTAATAGTGACCGTAATAGGCTTTCAAGGTAAGTGAACAATTTAAGAAGTAGTTTTACCAGTTTCACTCCCCCAGTGAGTTCCCATGGCCAAGTGGAGATTTGAACCTTGTTCTCCAGAGTCCTAGTCCAGCACTCTATCCACTACACCACATTGGGAATTCCAGCAATTCCACCTCCTTCCCCCTTTAGCCCTCAGTACCTTTCCTCATGCTTTTCATAGAATAGTAGAGCTGGAAGGGGCTCTGGGGGGTTATTGAGTCCAACCTCTTGTTGAAGCAGCAGATCCACTAATAAAATACCCCTGCTAGGTGGCCATCTACTCTTTTTGGAAAAAACAACAACTAGTGAACCAAAGTCCCCTTTCAGACAGTCCATTCCACTATGAAACAGATTTTGCTGACAAGAAGTTTTTCTTAAATTCCTCATAATTTGAATCAATTACATCAAGTTTGGCACCTTTGGAGCTACAGAGAACAATTGTGCTCCATCTTCCAGAAGACAGCCCTTCAAAGATTTGAATCTTTTCTTCTACAAGTTAAACTGCCTCTTCTACAATTTAAAAAAAAGAGAGAGGTCCTCATAGGTCTTGGTGTCCAAGATTTTTACCATCTTGGTCATCCTTCTCTGAGCACATTCTAGCTTCTCAATAGCCATCTTTAACTATGGTACCCAGAACTGAACACAATATGTCAAGTGAAGTCTGACCAAAGCAGAATAAAGAGGCACTAATACTTCTCCGGATCTCGATACTATACTTCTGTTGATGCAAGTGTGCATGTGCATTTGCAAGGTTTTCACATTGGTGAACATAGAAATACTGATAATGGAAATACGATTAACTCTGATTTATTAACTCTCTCTGTTTCAGGAAAGAGATAAGTTCTACTTAACCCGCAGTGTCATCTTAGAATTACTACAGGCCCTGAAGTTGAAATCACCTTTGCCAGATACAAACCTGCTGCTCCTGGTCCAGGTACAGAACAAACTCTTTTTTGTGTGTGAAAAGTTTCATTATGAGCATTTCATTCTGTTTCTTCTAAGGTTTAAAAGGCCTCAGTGACAAGACATTTTGCTACCCGAGCACCTCCCCCTCCCCTCCAGGAAGTCCCCATGCTTTGAAAAGTCTTGCTATCAATGTTTGCTTTCATATCTCTGACTAGATTCTACTGCCTGATTTATCTCACTGCAGGATAGGGCTGTTTGCCTGTTGCTGTTTAGCATCTCCATGTGGTATTTTAATTAAATTCAGTCCTGTTATATTTTAAAGTATGTCTTCCTAGTACTTGCTTTTCCTGTGTATTTGCTGTTGCTTTTTTCTCTTGTTTGCTTTTAAGTAAGATTTCCACTTGGAAGCAGAAAAGAACACCTTACAAATCAAATTGCAGCTATCTTCAAGGAGATAACAATAACATTTACAATGAAGAACACTTGGTATCTCCCTTCTGATTACAACACAGCTGTAATTCCTAAATATGAAATTTGCCAATTTGTAGAATGGAGAATGGCTGATATTTGATGAAACAGAGTTCTTAGCAATCATATTTACAGATTCCTTTTTTTTTTAAAAAAAAGAGAGAGGTAGAAAGGGAACATATTTGTTGAAATGGTAACAGCTTTCCCAACTTAAAAACATGAGCTTTCTCCATGTCACTGTATGTAGAAATAAACAGATCTGTTGTGTTAGAAGATGGGTAAGAAATCTCCAGATGTCTTTGGTTTCACAACTCTTTTCAGCCCTCCCTTAACATGGTCAGTCAACATCTGCAGGACCTCAGTTTAACCCTGCTTTAAAATTTAACACTCCTAGTCATCAGCAATGTTGAAAAGTGCTGGAGGCACGGGCTGTGAATACTAGGCTGTATCTTTAGCTCTTGGAGGGAGACTCTGAGATATGACAGACATAGCCCCACTTTTCACATAAACTTAGAGTGAACGGTAGATGAGAATGGCTTGAGTCATTTTGCTGCCTGAAGCAGAGGAAAAATTGTGCTGTCCCACAGACACACACATATACATTCCATAGATAAAAGTGAATTATATTAGCATTTGAATATCACTTTGGCAGTGGCAACAGGATAGTATCCCAACCATACCTGAAGATGAGAAGTTAGTTTTTGGGGTGATGGACAGACTGCTCAGTAATCCAAGCTTTGCTGCCTGACAGACGGGAATTTCTGAGGGCTCAGGAACCCTGACCCAGCACCCGGTGCTCCCCAACTTCTCCCACCTGAGATGCTTGACTCAATCTGTCTAAAGTTAAGACCAGCCCTCACATGCTTTGGAATCCTCCACAGTTAAACCTTATGCTGAAGGTAAAGGTAAATGTTCCCCTCGAAATTTTTAGTCCAGTCGTGTCCGACTCTAGGGGGCGGTGCTCATCCTGTTTTCAAGCCATAGAGCCAGTGCTTGTCCTAAGACAGTTTCCATTGTCACATGGCCAGCGTGACTAGGGAACGCTGTTTTACATTCCCACCGAGGTGGTACCTATTTATCTATTTGCAGTTGCATGCTTTCGAACTGCCAGGTTGGCGAGGAGCTGGGACAAGGCGACAGGAGCTCACTCTGTTGCGTGGATTTGATCTTACGACAGCTGGTCTTCTGACCCTACAGCACAGAGGCTTCTGTGGTTTAGCCCGCAGCACCACCACGTCCCAACCTTATGCTGAAGTTGTATAGCAAATAATATAGGGCCTCTTCAGCAGATAAGCCCGTATAGCAAGAGTTCCCTCAAAGCAGAAAGTTGGAGAAATATAGAGAGCTCCCCCTACTCCTAAAAGATGGTTGATATGAAGGCTCTCCATGTTCTTTGACCATCTGTACTGGCCATTCCCTTCTTCCACCTTGGGCCCTTTGGATTCACACTTTATCACTCCAGAATGAAACTACACAGCAGAGGTTGCCCACTACTTACACCACACATGCATACACACACACACACACACAGAGGTGGGCATTAAAAACACAAAACTCCTCAGCCTAGCAATAGCTGTCCACCACTGCAGAATGACTGAGTTGGCAATTGTTGGCACATAATCACATTGAAATGACAAGTAGCTGAAATAGAAGTGACCGGGGATGGCCCACAGCATGATGTGGAGCTCTGCAGATTTCCTCCTCAGGTCACGCACAGTTCCATATGATTGACAGCCTCTTTTCTCTCTCTCTCTCTCATGTGTCTGGCACTGTGTCTGGGCATATGTTTTCATGAGCTGGGTGTTTCTCCTAAGTACGGGCACATTATTTAGAGAAAATAAGCAGTTGCCAAGAGAGTGGAAAGCGACGTTGACATTCTGAATTACACAGGACTTAAAGTTTCCCTTAAAACAAGTATTATAGTATCAGAGTAAGAGAAGAAGCTGGGAGGAGAAGTAAATTAATATCAGATTAAGAGGGGAAAGGTGATGTTTGCAAATATATTTGGTTCAAATACTTCTTTAATTGGTGAAAAAAATGAACAAACCACAAACCATGATATTTTTTAAAGAAAGAAACAGAGATTTTTGCTTTAGACTGTGTCCCAAAATGGCAGAGTTACTCAAAACAGGGAGTTGTCATGGTCAAGGACACCTTCTTCCTCAATAGACAAATCTGAGGACAAAGTCTGAAGTAATGTCTTTGAATTTACTGCTGCAAGATTCACAGAGAAGAATAGACGTCAAAGCTTGGAAAAGTTACTCTTTTGGACCTCGGTTCCCGGAATTCTCTAGATGCTCTTGCTTCTGGTCATGCTGGGTTATTATTATTAAAAAAAATAGTTTCTCCTAGCTCTGGGGGAAACGTCAGATAGAAAGGGGAGAGTCGTCCATCAGAGAACCATTGCTCTTCGTATTGCCTAAGGCAGAAAATATGGCACCTCTCTCCTAGTTTAGATGCATGTTTGCCCAAGTCAACCAAGTACATAGGGCTGAAAATCTCCAAATTCTTATCTCCACCTGGCCAGTTAAAAAAAACAGTAACGAAGTAATTAATTACACAATATGCTGCCCTTTTGTGACACCCCAGATCTGCTGCCTGAGGCAACTGAGTCCTGAATTATTATTATTTTTAAGTCAGTGGTTACCAACCCTGGGTTTCCAGAAGTTCTTCGACTAAAATTCCTAGAAGCCTTCACTAATAGCTGAGCTGGCCTTCAACTAAAATTTCTAGAAGCCTTCACTAATAGCTGAGCTGGCCAGGATTTCTGGGAGTTGTAGTTCAAGAACATCTGGGGACCCAAAGTTTGAAACCACTGCTTTAAGCTCTAAATATAACTCCTGCCTAAGCAGCCTATCCTGAACAACAAATAGTGAAGTTCTGTCCATTTCCAACATAGTGCCTTCCATTACTGAACAGCTCATACCATCTGTATATTCTTTTTAATCATTACTCAAAAACCCCTTCTTTGTAATTGGAACCTATGCTTCCACATTTTATTCTTCTGAGGGCCAGAAGGCCAGAAAGCTATAACTGCTACTTAGTAGTCCCAAATCAATTATCAATGAGTTCCTTTTAAGAAATAACATTCTAAACTCCAAAGAAAATCATTGACTAAATAGAACCAAGGGTGGCAAGTTAAGCCCTGTGTTATAGAGCAGTGGTCCCCAACCTTGGGCCTCCAGATGTTCTTGGACTTCAACTCCCAGAAATCTTGGCCAGCAGAGGTGGTCGTGAAGGCTTCTGGTAGTTGAATTTCTGACAGTCCAATGCATTCCAATGGGGGAGAAAAAAATTCACCAAAAAACTTAGTAGTCCCAAATCAATTATCAGTGAGTTCCTTTTAAGAAATAACGTTCTAAACTCCAAAGAAAATCGTTGACTAAATAGAGCCAAGGGTGGCAAGTTAAGCCCTGTGTTATATAGAGGACAGTCATCTTTCCAAAGGGTGTTCAAAGCCCAGCCACATGGCCAATAGTAAAAAGTTCTGGGTGCTGACGTCCAAAACAACTGGCGAACCAAAAGCCCAGAGGCACTCATACAAGTGAAAGAGAACATTTGTTGTCTTATCTCCCTTAAAAATAATCAGTTGTGTTCTGACTTATTGATCTGTTCCACTGTTGCTGTGGCGATTGACCTTCTTGCCCCTGTTTATCTGGGCCCTCACAAAGGATCACGCCCTTTTTCTCTTCTAGCTGCCACCATGTATTCTCCTAATATCAATTAAGTTATACACATTGTGACCACTCCTGTCCATCACAATGGAACCCTGAGTCAAGAGCCAATGGTTGTACAGAAAAGGCGGAAATAAGGATATATCAGGGAAATGGAAGGCAGTTAAAGATTAGTTAGAGTTAGGTAGCAGTTAGAGTCTGGATGAGTTAGGGACTGGAGTTAGCAGTTTAGGCAGTTAGGACCAGGTTGGTGTTAGAGAAGAATAGAAAGATGGAGAACGAGGTAAGAAATGAATAAATACCTTGATTAACATGATTCTGTCTAAGCAAATATAAATGTTAAAAAAGCACAGTTGATTGCATGAATAAAATAAGATCATCCATGATTCACTTTACATCCTCCTGCCCTATCCTTGGCTCCTCCCTCTTGCGCTTCTGTGATGTATAGGCAGGAGTGACGTCACCTGTTGGCTTTTCCCTACAGTTGCCATTACTAGCAGCAGGAAAAGCCTCTTAGTTCCCTCTAGTGGTCAATTCTGATATTGCACCTTGAAAATATCGAAGTTAAGTCATGGCAACTGGACGTCTTTCTTTTTAGTTGAAACGTTTAGCTACTCAACCAAGTAGTTTCTTCAGTGTGACTGAAGTTGCGAAACATTTCAACCTAACAAGAAAGAAGTCCATTTGCCATGACTCAGCTTCCAGATAACCATGCCTGAATGACTGAGAATCTTTACAGAAAACTTGAAAATACTGGAGAAAAATACAAAAGTGTTGGAGTCACGAAATGAGAAGGTTGATGGGCTTTGTGATCACAAGTAATTAGGATAGCAAATAGTCTCTTAGAGATAGAAGTTAAAAAAGTCAGCCACACGCAGGGATGTCT